TTTAAATACTCAGGTTGAAATGAACTATGCTAAGAAAACTAATTACATTTATGTTTTCTTTGAATTAATAAATGAAACAGGTATTCTACTAAGTTGAATAAACAGGGGAGAGCGGTAGCCATTCCAATCAATTTGTTATGACGTCGTGGGTCTCTAAAAAGATACCTTTCGCAATATATTACATGCATAGGATTCCTTCGCGCACACGAAAAGCAATTGGTTCGTGCTTCGTATTATTGAGGTCGAGAAAATCGAGCTCGTATTGCTTTTCACCCTGTGCTCTCACTTCCAGGGGGTTCGTCTTTGATGTTTGCCGCGAAGAACTTTTTTTGGCACGGCAGAGCATACGGGAGTTTCACGATATTGTATCGCTTTCGATTCCGCCAATAAAACATCACGTCTAGTTTCCTACTCGTGGAAACTCGTCAACAAAGAAACGTCGTTTCGAATACTGGTTTTCATTTGCAACAGTCAACATTAACTTGCGTTTGGTTTCATTCTACCTATCTCAAATACCACTCTGAACTCTTCTGGGCATTTAATTATATTTCTAATGGAATGTCTGGAGAATGTAAAAATGTAATATTATCATAGATGATGTTGACTGCAAGAAAATCATTGTGAGGAGTTATTCTTATATAATAATACTCCAACGTATACAGTTAACATATTATACATGTTTGAATTTTTTTTTTCATTTGCTAGTAGTAGTAAAACAATAATAAAAATGTCGTATCTCATTTTAAAAAATGTCAATGGCCTTGAGATCTTTGAAAATATGACCTTAAGAAAATTTGTTTGTCTATCATAAAATATCTCTTTCCAAACCAAACATCATGTATATTAAATATCTTCGTATCATAAACCAACAAAGATATTTAAAAGACAAGTCTTAGGTGACCTGTATATGTCTCCAGAATTCCATAGTTACACTATTTAATACCATTGATTCCAGTTCGCATATTTTACAACGAGATGGCTCCGTGTGCAACGGGTTAATAAATTCATTGGAGCGCGAACCCACGCGTCTCCTGAAAGATATGAATCAGGATTTTCTTCAAGGAATAAGGGTTATCGATCAAACGGGGAATCCGCGAGGATTCCAAAGAAATTCCTGATCCAGATTCCAGAAACTGCGAGAGCATCGCGCGCACCCTCGAAAACCGAGAGTCGAGATCGGCTGGGAGTCCAGTAGTAAAGCTCGATATAAATCAGACCGAACCTTCACTCGAGTTTTAGCTGCACTCTCTGCTCGCCCCTCGGTATCCTTCGTGTCCATCTTTTTTTTTTCTTTTTGCCCTCTATCTCCACTGTGGCCGCTGTTCCTCGACACGTAATTACGAGCCTTCGGCAAGGAACTTCCGGTGCTTTTACCTCGAGCGTGATTACCCGACGATCCTTGAGGAAAGAAACGCACGAAATGAAAACCGGACGATCGGCTGGAAAGTATTAGTCTTCGTGGAATGATCGGCATGATTTGAGCGATTAAATATTGCCATGTATTGTATTCCTAAGGACCACTCTCTCATGTCCCGGGACATGAAACTTGAGCCTAAGCGGCAGTGATAATTTTATTTACATCATTTTAAAATGAAGATTAAGTCTCATTTAAAGGAAAGTATAATAGACGACGCGTGAGCCATTTTTAGAGGTGCAAAAAGAACGAAGTTTCGTCATTTTGAAATAGCTAACTTTGGTATACTGATTAATTCCATGTTAATGAATAGGAAAAATATATTGTAAAATATTCTGCGTGGATTATAAGGGGTGCCAGTAATTAACGTACGTAACATTTGTGAAAATTCGCAATTTCGTTGTAATATAGCAAACAAATTTTGTACTTTCTTCGATGTCGTCTACAAAACTATTAAAGTAAAAATACACATTAAAGAAATCGTGGTAGGCTTAATTTTTTCTGAAGAAATCTTTCGTTGATATTTTTAAAACTGAAATTTCTTGTCGATTAAATACCGATTAACTTTCGTTCAAAACATTTTTTTGTTAGATCACTTGTCCTAAAAATCATGGGGACTGATTTGTAACGCACTCCGTATATATTTTTTTAATAAAATAACATAAAGCACTATTTGCTATACTAGCTGACGATATATTCTAACGAACATCAAGTCTTAGAAATATTAAATTTCCATTTTCTTCAGTTCTCCAATTCTTCGTAAATTCAGATCCTTCTTTTCATTCTCGTTTACTTCCCCCGATATCGTAGAAAAGAGTTGGTCGTTTATAATAACCAGTGCCGGGTAAAATCCGAATTAATTAAAAATCCCGTTCGAGTCTTTCGCCGAAGAGCGCCTCCCTCGCCGCCGAAGTTCAATAAACTGGTCACTAATTACACGCGACGGGAGGAATTCGACTATCGTCGAATTATTTGGTCGGTAGTCGAAGGCAGCGCGGAGGGACCTCGCATCTCATCCTTCCGGCCAAACGACGATCCCATCCAAGTGATTTTTAATCGGTCCACTCCATCCCCGGATCAACTGTCGCCCAGCCAGAATCGTCAGTGTTTCCCTGGAAATCCTGTCGATCGATTCTCATTCGCTCTCTCCTGCTACGTTCCGCATATATCAGCTGTGGGGTATCGCGTGAATTTGAAAATTACCTGACTTTATTTAATCCGGTGTCTTCCTAATGAAATTATTCATCATTCGGAGTAAGTGTCTTCACATTTATCGAAAAACTATAACGGTACTATTTACTTAATTGGATGAATGTAGAGGTGCGTCACACATTTATAATTCTTAGTATAGTTATTAGTTCGTTTGGTACATTAGTACCAACCCTTAACCTGATATTTGTTACGATGTATCTATACATATAACCCAAGTCTCAACCTAATGGCTATTGCAATGCATCTACACTAACTTTAATTCTTTTCGTAAATAATTTTCCCCTTACTAATATGTTATAAAGTATTGTCTTGGAAACTTCAATAAATGCGTATTGATTAACAAATCTGACTTGAAATCATTAGATAATTTCAGAGCAAAAGTTTATACAAAAATAATTAAAATATGGAGTAAATAACAATTATAGAATGCGAGTGTAGAGTCAAAAATTAGGCAAACGAAGATTCTTCGCCTTTTGCAATGTATAATTTCCAACAACCCGAGAAGAGCACAATTTATCACTAACCAAACGTTTGAAATTACTACCTCGCTCCTTTCATAGCAACAACTCAAATAAATACCCAGGGACCAGACACCACGAGCAACCCTAAAATCAAAGGTCAGAGGCAACAGTTAACCGCGCGCAAGCAAGAAGGAACAGGATTGGCGAAATCACATATTTCAACGGCGAAGAATACATTCACTCCCCCAATACATAAACGTTTTATTTAATAAAACAATATGCCGCTTCCAGAAGCATCCCCGAATATTAAGGAGCACCACCAAAGAATACGAAATTCTCTCGGGGGAGCAACGAAGCAGCTCCTATACACGATTCCATGGTGATCTATGAACTGTTCACGTGCGAACCCCTGCCAGGAGAGTTCAGTCGAAGACTCGAGGATCACATTGTTAGCTTTTCAGCGGGGAAAAGTGCGGTTGATACTCCGCTAGCCTGGGGATCGCGGTGTGTGTGAGAGAGAGAGGAGAGAGCTGGGACTCGATACGTGACCGGCGAGCAAACGTTGGTGAGCTTTCAAAAATCGCCTCCATTTTCTGCCTCTTTATCGTTTCTTCCCTGTCGCTTTTGACGCGCTGAAAGCGTCCGACGTGTTAATCACCGCGTTTGCCGGGCGACTTCTCTCCCACGGACGATTTTTTGCCGGATCATCGCTGATTAGAGGCGACCGCTATAGCGTGGCACAGTTTTTATGATACTTTATGGCACTCGGGCTCGTGGCCCGACCGACATTTTTCTTTATAACTCCGGGATCGCGTTAAGCGTGAAATGTACTTTTCGGGCTCAGCAGATTGCACGGGGGCTCCCCGCGGCGCTTGGTCCTTTTTTTTTCTCTTGACAATACTGTATTTGCACGGCGGATCAAGACCGCCATTTGGAACACTTAAGGGTGTTTTGCTTGTAAGAATTCGCGGACAGGGTGGTCTTTAAGATTTTGTTTTTAAGATAGTGAATGTCGCATAGAAGTAGAAAAGCTATATTTGAACAAAGTTGAGATCATTGAATGAATTTTTATTACATTAGAGACAGTGGATAATTATTTTTGTCGTCTGTTGGAGTTACAACTCGTTTTAAAAATACTTGAAATTTACGAAACGAAAGAATTCTTCATACTAGTAAGATGTTTCGTGACTTTCAATACTTGGAATAATAGATAATATTCTCATAAACATTGAGCGTTCTTTTATTCTGATTTTATACGTTCTTTAAGAAGAGTTATGTATTATGTACCATAAGTCATCTACATATTTCAGGTGATAGAAGACATTTTTTTTCACCATCGCCATCAATATCATCTATAAAAAGTATAGTCGAATAAAATATACGATAACAGCGTTTTTTTATTCTCTTCAATGACGTCCGAATATAGTCTGACAAGTTTATTTACTCTACCTAGACAATTCAAATAAAAACAAATGTTTATTAGCTCTGAATCAATGATGAATATTTTATAAGCTGAAATAGATCAAGAGGTTCCATACATGGAGAGTTACACATTATTGTATTTCACCCATTACGAACAATTTAATTGAATTACGAGTATGAACTTTCTGGTAAACAAAGCTATGAATTACAAATTTCCTGTTTGTTGTACATAGATTTTAATGAAACCGAATAGATATGTTGAAATGGCAGTAATTTAAACGTTATGAATTATTCACGTATTTATGGGAATTGCTTCATTTGACCATTATATATCCACAGAATTAAGACAGAAAAGAGAAATAATTTGACTACTACTTCTTATATTTTTATTAATTAGAATAAACATCATGTCAGAGTGTTTGATTTGCAAAGGGAGAAGAAACATATTTGACTTTAGAAGGTTACATAGAACTTGATACTTATATACTCACCACTGAGAAGGAATAGTCCACAGGCGACGAGAGTTCTATGGTCAGAGTAACAATGACCAATTAAAGCTGAGATGGTGGCGGCAAGGAGCAGTGCTCCAGCGACTACTTGAAATGGCGCGGAAATCCTGTGACAGGAAAATGAAACTGTAGTTAATTATGTTTCTATGATACAATTACTATCATTATCATTCAAGAGTCTACTAAACCTTTTGACACAAACAAAATTAAACAAATACATGTTGAGATGTATCCTAATTCAATTTCGTTTGTCTGAATTTAATTTATTGCAAGGAAAACCACAAAGAAAACAGTCAAAATCGTACAGTAGCTTTTGAATGATCGTCAACACTAATTACTAAATTCAATAATTTAAATATTTACATTATTCATTGAATACCCATCGAGACAGATTATTAAGTCTAATAAATATTTCCCTAACAAATAAATACGACGGATTACGAATTTTCCAGACATTAAATAAACCACTATTCTCAATCAAATAGTTGCGTCGAAAACGTTACCGTCCATTATGCCCTATGAAACACGCGCCAATTTTGCGAACGATTTCCTTGAGACCACGAGCGTACAAAATCGCTGCGCCCTTTCAAGGGAATCGATATTAACTTCCTGCGGGACAACAAATTTCAAGGGTTTTTTACTCGAGATCTGCATTCTGATTTCAAACAATTCCTGGGAGTAAATAGGCAGGCGTACAATGAGTATCGAAACGTTGTATAAACCGGGTACCGACGGGTTGAATGGATACCTTGGTAAACGTGTGATTGGTCGACAACAGTTCGTGTCGTTGGAACCACACTGACGGCTATTGTCAGACCGTCGACATATTTCACATAGTTTCTGCCTGGAAGTGAAAATAGACGCAGTTGCTGACAATTTATTTGCCTGGTCGTGTGGGACTGATGAAAATTTTTTCGGTCCATTACTCTCAGTGTGACTAGAAACCTAATACAAATTATTCGAAGGGATGCTTGTACAATTGAGCAACAATAGACTCCTGTATTTAACAATAGGAAGATTCTTCGATGCGTAGAAAATACTAGAGCATAAGAAAATAATAGTAATAAGCTAACAAAAGCCAAGAAATTTGAAAATTGAGGGATCAAATGTTTATAAAAAGTATGCAATAAATTAATATATGGTGAAGTCATGCAATAAATATGTGTACAAGATAATGAAATATTTATGGTTGCTGGAATCTAACTGACCACAAATCTGATATCAATATACAACGTATAATATACAATATACATACTACCCTCTATATAATGTATATATAACACAAATACATATGTATATGTTAAATATTGTATGTTACATATACATATACAACGTATATATTTTCTTCTATACAATCGCAATTATACAGGGTCCTCAATCAGATTAAAACCACCTTAAAGTTTTCATTATCTTGTATACTACTTATCAAGTGATTTCACCATATACTTCTTCTGCATATCGAATCAAATATCTTGTTTATTTATTCAATGTTTTCTCCATATTATTTTTATTTGAAACTGTAAGCCATCAAAGTTTATAATTTAGGACGTACAGGACGCTCCGGAAATAGCGTGCTCTCCTTTTACCAGGAAGTACGCATGCTAGTAGTAGTAATAGGAAAAACATGCTGCCTCAGCGCCTGTTACTGACTGCTGCATAGTTCCACGCGTAGCGTAGTTAGTAATCAATGAGCGCGAGCGAGAAAACTGATTGTGCAAGCGAGGCAGTGATAACAAAATATTTGAAAATTATGCGTAACTTCAAACGACGATATCTCGTCACCGCAAAGTCCTACCGATATGAAAACTATTTTAAAGAGAGGGGCGAGAGGATATTTGGTCGTTCGTGGTATTACCAGGATCGAGAAACTTTTAACATGCTGTGCACTTTGACGCTATAAATGTTTGGTAACTTTCATACGCGTCGCCTATGTGTTTGGATAAACCTTATGATAAATAAATGTTTTTAGAGGGTAATAATACCTGTAATAATCTTTTTAGTGCTAATAATAATGCAGGTTGTAATAATATTGCAAAAGTTGAGTTATTTGGAGTGTTCCAGCAGGAGGAAACTTTCATTGGAATATAAATCTTGTATCTTGTGTGTTTCAGATGCCTGTTTGAACATCTATTTTATGTTAAAATCGTCTGAGTTTGTTTGTGGATGAAAACGATGTGAAATTTAGTAGGAAATTGTACTGTACGTTATTTAAATTACTAGAGTTAGTTGAACATGTTTCTGTTCTGCTTTTTATTTAGTTCCATTTGACATTGTGATGTTTCGTTTCACAGGCGGAGCTTTATGAAATATATTACCCAGCTCAAGCTTCTGGACATTTACAACATTTTCATTATATATTTAGTAACAGAGGAGGTTGCATTAACTATACTGAAAGGGCTTAAAATAAAAACGTTCATTGTATGCTGACGCAACATCTGGTATAACGTTATTTTCTGTTCAACCTCTGTTTAAATTAATATATCACACAAAATTTTTGAGTAGAATTTTGTCCAGTTTTAAGTGTTATCAAATTTAACGGAAGAAAAAATTTGGAACTATAAATGATGAATTTCTATTTTAATTAACTTTTAGAGTAACTTTAAACTCTCGATAATTCATTGGAATGCACTGGAATTAAAAAGCCTGTTTATTGGCTCCTGATAGGTAAAGTGTCGAGTATTATAACAACAAATTCTTGCAAAAATAATTAAACGAGTAGCAGTGCGAGTGATGGTTAGTTCAAGTAAGACACACGTCACTGAAAGATGAAAATGGATGTTACCACCTTCCTCATCTCGTTGCTGCGTTCAGGGACTTGAGAACTTCTCGGAGACGAAGACGAAGGAGGTTAATCAAGATTTGCGGTGAACCTGGAATTCTCGTGACGCGACAGCACGAATATGCCCCCTAAATTTTGATTGATCCTCTGACCGACTTTGGGAGTCCCTTCCGAATTCTGGTCTGTCGCTGACATGTCGTGAAAGCGGTTCGAATTTATTGCCATTTTACGTGGCGTGACTACGTGACTGTTGGCCAGCTAATTCCATGGATCTATCATCGAGCTGATAGCTTATCATAGATGATCAAGATAAATCGAAAAACTTATGGTGGTCGATCAACTGTTCCTTCGGAGGAGGAATTTCTGTTCAAGATGAACGTTGTACATTCAGGCAATTATATAATGTTTAATGTCTGGAGCTTATTTTGTGCGAGGACTTCCACTGTTATGAACAAATTCAATATTATTAGAAATACTTTTTTTTAAACTCCTACCATAAATGTTTATTATTATTTTACGGTGTAAGCTCACCGTTCAGATACTCATTTCAAGTATTTAGGAATAAATTGACTAAGTATTCATTCTTACTCAATAATAATAGAAAAGAAGATGATTGAATCAGATTAGGGGTTGAGTGGGTGTTTGGATTAAATATAGATATGACTTGAAATTAAATAATGATGTTATGAAAAAATTCAATTTCGTTGGCAATTACTCCTTTCTTAAACTCCTATTCTGAATGTTCAAAATTATTAAATATAAATATGAAAAATATTATACACTTCTTTCATACAGCTATTTTACAATGTCGTTATATTAAACGAACCAGAGATTAAAACAGTCTTCAATATTACATAGGAATTAATTCTATAATAATTCAGTTATATTTGTTGCTCATCAACTTTGTGCATCTGTTGTATTCCTTATAAAGTTTAGATTAAACCGTAAAATTCATTGCTACTTTTGGCCGTACGTAGTAATTAATGAAACGTGAATCTAAATGAAACGAACTTTCAGATGGTAGTGGACTACGAAATTGCGGGTCAGTTTTCCTAAATTAAGGAAATATGCATTTCCATGCTGGATACCCGCATATCCGGCGTAGCAGAATTCTGCGGGGCACATGAAAAATTCAGGGAACTACCCATAGGATTCTGATTGGTGTTCCGGTACCTGCACCCCCTTTCGTAGACTCGCCAAATTCCCTTGGACTTCAAACCTTAACATTTTCTTTGAATAATAAAGTTACGTTTAAAATTAAAACTGTTTAAATATTTCGTACGAGACAAATGTAGCTTATTTAAATTATAATTTATATTGTAAAATGTAGGAATACTGTGAAACAGGCTTGGGCACTTTTAGGATAAAGTTATTTGAAATTCTATTTTAAACAATATGTATTCCGTTAATTTTTAAAATTCAGTTGCGTTTTATGCAGCAATTTCTGCAGTAATAATTGGGTACTAGATTAATGAAATAGCGAAATACTCAGGGATATAACTTATTCATTCTGAGAATATAATGTTTCGAAATTTTGTAGCAGATATTAATAATTTAATAAGTGGATATCTTCGTCGCATTCGCGCTAAGATTAACAATGATTCATACATAACGTTTAAAAAATTAGTGTAACAGTTATATAGTCGAATCGATTTTTTAGATATATTATACATCGTCCATCATGCGTATTTAGAATTTCAAATGCGCCAGTGGTAATGACTTGGAAATCATAAATATGCAGCGCACCCAACAGATTTCCATACAAATTTTGGTAATGTTTTCTGTGGTCAAAAATAAGACGTAAATGTTATGTATTATGTTAAAAAAATAATAGATTTCCATTCGCTAGTAACTAAAATATTTTTAAATATGCGAATAAATGTGTATTCATTACCAACATTGTCTTAAAATATTTACTACCAGCTTAGATGAAATATTTATTATCTCAATTAATAAATAACTCTATTATTTATTACTCTTATTATTTTAAATAACTCGGCATTTCAATTTCCAATTGTTATTTACTTATTTTCTGATTTCATTTAAAATCAATTTTGACATGGTTTACTGTAAGGAAAAAGGACTCTAAATAATACAACGTCAAAATAATTTCTATTGTAAACATGATTCCTATGTATATTGTTATCGATTCTATAGCACTTATCCCAAAAATAACGATCAGTCTGAAATCAACAGTCAAGAAATCACAAACACTTTTGTAACTCACTGTAACTCTGATTCCTTCTAACACCATTAAGTTTACAAATTATTTCTCCAATTAGTCACAAGTAATTTAGTGATTGAACGTAATATTTTCTCCGCAAACTT